TCAGAGCTGTGAGAGAAGAACACATTCTGATTAACTAGATACCTTAATGAGACTGGGCCTAGGCCCGACCCAGCCAGCTATCTACCCTCACCTGTTCCGGGACTACGTTAAACTAGAAGCCAGTCGCACAACTTTAACTTGGTATCTGTGGAGATTACTGCTAACCCATTATTCCTAGCCCATGTCTGCTTGAACCGAAGTAACCCTTTCCTCGCGGATGGGCTACGGGCGAACCAATCCGCCCTGATGGTCCTTCTGAGCGTGCTTTTGATCTGAGCAATTGTTTCAACAAAGGACACCTGAGTTCCCTGAAACACCGCTACACCACTCTCCAAATGTGAAAAACACAAAATGTGGCGGGTGCAGCTGGGGCGGGCCTGACATTTGCAACTGCCAGGAAGTGCACGTAGTCACACTGCTTACCCCGGAAAATATATAGCGGTTTTTTTTTTTTTTTCCAATGATGACATAACACGGGATAATTGGTAGTCACTACTGTTTTCCTCTTGCACGAATTTCTTGAAACACCTCACCGAGAAAGGAAAAAATTGACAAGGTAATTTGAGACCACCTGTGCAGGTGGTCTCAAAAAGGGTCCTCCTGCGGCCCCGCAGGCTGCTTACAACAGGGTCACCAAAGAGTACATTTTGGTAGCAGGGGCCAAGTCCCACTTACGCTTATTCTTCATTTCTGGCCGTTGATCTTGCTAACCGAAGGTCGGGAATTGCGAATTCAGGTAAGTGGGACTTGGCCCCGGGCCTCTAAAATATGACCTGAAACTGCCTCAAATGTGAGTATGCCCTGAGATTGCAGCGGACCAGAAATCTCGGGCAGTAAAATAAAAAGGAAAAAGGAAAAAGGAAAAAAAAGACATTTGGGGCTGTTTCCAGGAAAGTCAGACAGCCTCTCACCCCCCCCTTTTCTTTAAGAGAAAACTACGGCGCAGTCAGGGTTTGAGTTTGAAAATGCACTTGAGGCAAAAGGGCCGCTAATGGTGAATGTATATAACCTAGGTTTCGGGTCCTTTGGGGTCAGGGGGGGTGTGTTAACTTCGCCAGATTGCCTGAAGTGCATTTTCAAACTGTTTTCGTGACTACGCTGAACTTGCGGCTGAAGTTTCCCCTTTTTTTTTAACATCCTTGAAGGGTATAGCAGGGGTGATAACAGCAGCCCTCTGTGGGACACGTTTTCAAGCAGGTGATGCTGCACAGCAATAGACAGGAGCCACGTGCCAGGTTTACTACTGGGAGGTGTTCGGCAGGGGTTTTTTGGGGGGGGGGGGGGGGGGGGGGG